AGGTACTGAGTCTGCAATAAGCCCAGGAGTTGAGCCTGGTAGTTATATGATTAATACAATATCTTTCCCCATTGATTGCACATTAATAAATTTGTTCTTAAGTACTTTAGGTGTATTCCTTTCTCCACAGTATTTTACCTTTATTTCCATCCAAGTGACTTGATGCCAGAATTACCATACCCACGCGCCTAGACCCTCGACCATGCTACAAAAGAATGACCATGCTACCAAAAGAATGTCCATACTACCAAAAGAATGTCCATGCTACCAAAAGAATGTCCATGCTACCAAAAGAACAGGTGACGGAACTGAGTAAGAGTAAGACTAAGAGAATTAAGTAAGATGAGGTGATGTGAAATGGGGAACCGCCACCTCACAAGAAGACTTTCTACATGACCACAAACAGTGTGTGTGATGGCACAATCATCATCGCACCTGTCACAAGCAGAAGGTACCACAGGCAGTTATTTTGTTTGTTTCATAAATGACATGCCTCGTTGTACCTCCTCCATTCAAATGTTTGCCAATGACGCCAAGTTATTTCGGGAAAGCAAGAACCAAGCGGACTGTGAAGAGTGGCAGAAGGACCTCTGTGGGCTCCAAGAATGGTCGAAGAAATGGCTGCTGAGATTTAATGTCACGAAGTGTAAGAGGATGCACCTGGGGCGTACCAACGGTTAGGAGGCGTATCAATATGTCCCAACGGGATGAAGAAACTGCACTAGTTGAGACTGAATGTGAGAAGGACCTAGGTGTGTATGTTGACAATGAGCTGAAGTTCTCGGGCCATTGCGAGAAGAAGGTAAATCAGGCAAATAAATTATTGGGTCTTATAAGAAGGTCGTTCAGATATCTAGACAGTCCGTCCCTCGTAACGATCTTCAAGAGTAAAGTGCTTCCCCATCTGGAGTACTGTCACCCCATCTGGTCCTCGAGATATGCCTAGGGACTGTCAGTTGGTTGAAAATGTTCAAAGGAGGGCCACCAGACTGTTGCCTGCCTTTCGGTACCTCAGCTACCCTGAGATTGTAGCGCCTGAACTTGCCTAGCTTATACTACAGACGGGCAAGGGTGACCTACAATGAGGTGAATAAGCATCTCAAGGGGCACTACACCAGTCGAGTGTCCTTACTTGGGCTGGCGAACGCTCGCCCCACAAGGGTCACAGCTCAAGATTGAAGAACCGCAAGTCCAGAAAACTGAGGGCAAACTTTTTCGGAGTGAGAGTTGTGAACAATCTACCAGAAGTGTTGTGACGGCACCAAGTGTGACCTCTTTCAAGACAAGACTTGACCAACACTGGAGCGGGTTCAGGTACATTCAGGAGCCGGTGCATGCCTAGTACTTGCCAACAGTGTGTAACAGAGACGTGACCGATCGCCGAAGCGGCTAACGAGCCGATCAGTGGTGAAGAGGATAAAAGAAGAAAAGACAAACAAGCCAAAGACAGATACAGTAACATTAAAATTATCAGCGTTTTAAGACCTTTACGAGTATATACCAGAGCAAGAGCAAGAAGAAAATGGAAATTGAAAAGCAAAAAGAACAAGGAAGAGCTCCAAATTAAACGACTTAGGTAAAACAGCTCGAAATAACCGAAAGACAAAGTGGCCAGTAATCTCCAAGCCAAAACAACGTTACATCGATCATATAGAATTTACTGTGTGATATTATTGTGTGTGTCTGTATATATATATATATATATATATATATATATATATATATATATATATATATATATATATATATATATATATATATATATAATATATATATATATATATATATATATATATATATATATATATATATATATATATATATATATATATATATATATATATATATATATTTGGTAAACGTTACTCCTGACCCACCGTGATACGGGTAGTCCCGTTAGAGGTTCACAGCGCCATAAGCTCGTTGAACAGGCTTTGTGTGAAATATAACAGAGTCTAGGATTGGTTTTAGTATCCTGGGGTCCAGAGGTAGCGTTCTCAGTTCACAGTTATGGGCTCGTGGGCCGTGGGTTCGGATCCTGGCGGGTTGAGGTGTTGATTGTATGTAGAAGTCTGCGTGCTATTGGGCTAATGAAATATATATATATATATATATATATATATATATATAATAACTGTTTATTGGCTAATGAATATATATATATATATATATATATATATATATATATATATATATATATATATATATATATATATATATATATATATATAATCTTAGTCCCTCCCAGTAGGTCGAGGGTTCGAATCCTGGCTGGTGAGGTCGTTGATTATATGTTCAAAGTCCGCGTGTTATATGGACTAAAAATGAATATATATATATGGTACCTCGTGTTTCATACCAGCTAGATTCGGTAAAATGCTACTGACACACCACACTGAGGGCACGGGCAGTTCCCAATGAGGTTCACGGCGCCATCAGCTCAATGATCAGACTTTGTCTGAAATATAACAGAGCCTAGGACTGCGTTTAGTGTTGTAGGGGTATCGAGATATTAATGTTGTCTAGCACTCAGGATGGAAGGAAACTCTAATGTGGTTTTCTTGTATAATATATAAGTTATATGATAGACAGTCTGGTGCTGGAGATGCCGTGTGGTGGGGAGCTGCTCAGTAGAAGACGTTCGGTGAGTAGCGTGTTGAAGGAGGTAGATGTGCAGGAGCTTCGTTAGAAGGTGTTGCCTGTTGCTGGCCTCCTGGTTGAAATAAATGTTAACAGCGTGGAGCTTGCTGGAGGAGGTGTTGCTTGTTCAGGAAGATGGGCAGAATGAGAGTTGGTTGGTGAGGAAGCTCAGAAGGACAGCTGGTGGGTCGCCATGCTCGCTGGCGGGGCGAGGACCGCCAGGCAGGCGAGGAGAAGCGAGGGCTGCCAGGCAGCGGCGGAGAAGAGGTGTTGCTTGTTGTAGAAGAATGGTCAGAATGAATCTCAATGGAGAGACAGAGCTTATATACCAGCAGCCGCTATGAGTCATGTTGGGAAAACCGAAAGTCGCCGGTGACTAGTTCCGTTGCTAAGATACGGTAACATCTGGTTGGTTGCTAGGGAGGATGGTAGCAGCTTGGTGACGCCGCTACGCAGTTGTAGGCAGTTGTGGGGAGATGTCCACTACAGTGTCCTTGTGGGTTGGTCGGTAGTTCCCTAGTCCCACCTAGTAGGTCAAGGGTTCGAATCCTGGCTGGTAAGGTCGTTGATTATATTATATGTCTGACCGTGTTATTCATTACCTTGACGTTCCTGTTCTGACCTTCTTAATGTGTAGCACACATACACATATACATACTGACACACACACATGCAATATCACACAGAAAATTCTCTATGATCACTGATGTATAGCAACGTGAAACAAGCTCAGGGTGATCTGTTTTTTGTGCAGGTGCCTACAGCACACAGGTGATGGTGACGCCCGCGCCTGCACACTATCCCCATCCGTTGATCCTGGCCAATCAAAGGGCTTACGTGCCGCCTTTCTTTCCCATCTTTCTTAAAATAGTCTTTGAACCAAATAAAATGATGTCACTGTGACTTGAGGTCCCACTCCTAGAAAAACCCAGCTAGTATTATTACCGACTATTTTACACTCATTCCTGTCTTTGAGCGCAGCGAGCACCCAACTGGGGATTTGGGGGTGCATTGTTACGCCCCCCACCCCCAGAATGTTTTTGAAATCTGACCAATATCAAGGGCAGCTTGGGGCCATTTAAAGCATGCGCACTTGTTATAAGAAGATATTTTTAAGTCAGTAGTAAATACATTAAGTGATAGAGATTTACAGTACAGCTGAAGTTTGAATCCACCCAGAGCTATAGATGGAGATGGAAAGGATATTTACTGCCATCTAGGATCGTTTCAACTATATAAACGCTTGTTGTTCCCAAGATTCTCTTACTGTTATTGTACTCTCACAACAGACTCAAGCAATTGTGGGTAGTCGTCAGTGTTGGCATTTTGGGGGAAAATTCGCTAAGTCTAGAGGATTGAACTTTCAAAACGCATATGGCTTAGATCTTTTGCGGATAGCGGATTTTCTGGTGCATTTTCACTGGATTTGGCGGAAGTTCTGGCGATTTCGTATACATGATGATATGAGTAATTAAAACCTCATCAGTCCACTTCTGATATTAAAAAAACCGGAAATTTAAAGTAAATAGAATGAGTAATGAGCAACCCATCTCTCTCACATTGACCCGAGGGAATATTTAGGATAGAATTTGAAAAGACTTGCACCAACTCAAAGCTATCAGAAAAGCAGAGTGTGATCTTCGTAATCGCTGTTTATCTTGTGTTACCAGTCTCTGTAATGAGAAAAGACTTCTGCTAACTTCAAAATCTCGAAGAAAATGTCTCAGTTTACAGTAGTGGAATGTCTCAGACTTGTGAAGGACCAACAGAAGAGATAGTTGAACTTTTTGGTACCATCCCCCAAAAAGACCGAATTGACAATCAGTGGCGCAACTTAATTGTTAAATGGTAACGAGACCACGTCAACAGTAAAATTTTGGATTGAGGTAAAAGATTATCAGAGTATCCTTTACGTGACCTCTGTGAATTAACTATCAGTGTACTTCCGCCACTCTAATGCTGAAGTTGAGAGACTATTTAGCCAGCTAAATAGTATTAAATCAAAGCTCAGAAATCGGTTGAATACAAGTTCAGTCTGCGATTATTGCAATAAAAAGTGGACTCAGAAGAGCTGCAAAATGTTGCCCATTCATATGAACTGCCCAAAAAAGTGAAGGAAATAGGTACAATGGTGGCATACAGTTCATTGATATCAAAGGCACCAGAAGCTGGTTCAATCTCTTCCTCTATAGAGACTGAAAGGAAGAAGAGGAAGGCATAATTTTTTCGCTGAACAAAGTGGTGAGTATTTAACATTTGTATATTTACTTAACATTTGCATATTGTTTAGTATACGTGCGTAATATTGTGTTTAGCGGATTTCTAGCGGATTCTATAGGTCAATCTAGCGGATTCTCACCAACCACATCTGGTAACACTGCTGGTCGTCTCGAGTGGCTCAGCTGTTCTCTGTCTTGGTGAAGTGGAAGTGGAGGAAGAAATTGTACGAAAATGGCATCGAAAGCTGCAAAACCTTCTCTATTGAAGAGTGTAGTGGTAAGTGAAAGAGTCGGGTCCTTGGAAGGAGATGAGAGCAGTATGGATGAGGTTAAACTGAGGAAATAGGTTATGAAATGGCCGGTGGTGTAGCAGTCGGTGATGAGGGTCTGGTACACAGCTGAGAGCGACCTCGTTAATTAAATTCCACGATTATTATTAACAAATTGTACTACGTGTTAGAACAGAGGTGCAATGATTTCGATTATAGAGCGTTTGTTACGTGAATAATAGTGTGCCTGTAAAAAAGTGTTTTATCCTGATGAGTCATTAGGGCCGGTTCCTGGGGTTCTTTTATTTTTTCTTATTTGGTTAGATTTGGTAAAAGATATTGGCTACTCCGCCAGTGCTTGGGGATGTTCTTTAGACAAGGAAGAAGTTTTGGTAAATTTGCATTGTCACACCGTTCACTTTTAGCAAGTAATAAATTTTTTTTCGGTCCACTAATTACCTAATGTACCCAAGTACAATGAAGTCAAATAATGGTCATAAAGCTTAAATCGACTGCCAATTACTTCTCGATTGGTATTTGGTGTCATAAAGTCACAAAAAATGGTAAACTTAATTTAATCAGGTAGTTAGGTTAGGTACATGCACTCGATCTAATAACTCAGATTAAATTAAGTTTATTGACTGTGTTTCTAAATACTAATCAGTAATTAGCAGTCAATATTTCATCAGCAGAACCATTATTTGACTTCATTGCGGCTACATTTGGGTTAATTTAGGTAATTAGTCGGACCCATTTTTCTAGTGTATTTGTGTGTGGTAAGACCGAATATGACCTTCATTTTTGGAAATTAGCTGCTTTTTTTTTTAGCGAATTTTTTTTTTTTGACGTTTTCGAAAAAAAAGTGGCTGCGACTAAAATACACAAAAACACTGAAAACCAAAACTAACCTAACCTAACAACTGACTCTCACCATATGATGGAATTACCTATTTCTTACCTTATTGGCCTGGTTCTTGTTCGTCTTTGCAATCTGGGATTCTTACTGCCACATATGTTGGTCTATACGATATTTACATTCCGTCTTGCTCTTAGTACACTTTACTGAGGTTGGAAGAACACCATGCGATTGAAAAATGCTATAATTTCTACGTTTTTTTTTCCAAAAACTGTAATCAGATCCATATACTTTAGCGACATCCATCGCAGACTTCCATGGTGAACTGAACTTGAATTTCAAATATGAGACCCAAAATAAAACTCGATTTTGATTGGGCCAAATATATTCTGAATTGGCAAAATGCTTTTGATTGGCGCGCATGGCGTGTACGAGCTAAAGAAAATAAGGTGTCTGCAATAGGCGGTTGGCCTGTGCATGGCAGCTCCTGTCGAGTTACTACCACTCTCTATCATCCATGAATATATCCAGCCTCCTTTTGAAACTTTCCAGCATTCCTGCACTCACTACAAAGTTGCTAAGCTTGTTCCACTCGTCACCACCCTATTTGTAAACCAGTTCCTTTCTATCTCCTCTAAACCTAAACTTATCCAACAAATCAGTTGTTCAGTCCTATCCTGCTAAAATTATAAGAACTTTATCTATATCACCTTTATTGATTCCTTTCACCCACTTGAATACTTCTATCATATCTCCCTGCACTCTTCGTCTTTCTAGGGAATGTAAGTTTAGTTTCTTTTAACCTATCCTGATATGGAAGGTTTCTAGGTCCCGAATCATTTTCGTCATTCTTCGCTGCACCGACTCTAGTGAATTGATATCCATTCTAATAAGGGCACCAGAACTGAACCGTCGAGGTGCGACTGACTAGCGTAAGATGTAGTTGCAATAAGACCTCTGCACTCTTATTACTTACACTTCTAGATATAAAACCCACTCTGTTTGCCTTATTTGAACAATAACGCCTTTTTCTGGGCCGTGGGTCCGGCTTACAAAGCACCCCGTTCTTTCACAAGTCGACTTCTCCAGGTTGATGTTGTTAAGGCTGTATACATTGACAGTATTTGTTCTTCCAATATTAAGTACACTGCACTTGCTGGTGTTGATTTTCATTGCCATTTTCAGGCGCATGGCGTCATGATTTATAAAGGGGAGCGAAGACACGCAGTGATAGGTGAGAGGCGATAATGGCAGGAAATAATGGAAGAAAATAGAAATTTATTTGGAAAAGCTATCTCCATTATTATACGTTTCTGGCCGTAATGTAATAAATGAAAATTATCTTATAATTAGACGTCTTATTGAATATGATAATAGATTAGTGGTAGGAATGAACTGTGTGTAAATGCAATAATACCTAAACAAATCATGGCTACACTTGTGACTGAGCGAAAGTCATAATCTTGAAAAATTAATATCTGGTTATCCTTAATTTCGATGGAAATATCAGAGAGAAAAAAATGTCTTAGAATTGTGTAAAAAATTGAGATACCCATTTTTATATGGAAATAAAGACCGTGATACTATAAGTTCACATTTCTTAATGTTGCTCATTAATCTGCACACTTCTAAAGTATTACATACAAACTTTGTGCAGTTTGTCCCCAACAGTTAGAGCAATTTCATGGGAGGTGGGAGTGTTATAACCGGTAACCACTCATTTGCGGACGGAAATGAGTCATGTTAATCTGAATCAGACCAAATACCGAGGAAAACAAAATTTATGGTCAAACAGTAGTTGGGTCTGAAACTGCAAATTTACCTAACTTAAGTTTTTTTGGTTAGGTTTGGTTAGCTTGGTAATTGTGAAATGTGAGAATAGCAAACATGGGATTGCACGACTACTGTATATTTATGCATATAAACTTAAAGAATGAATGCTGGACAAATAGTGGAAGTAGAGGTTGTGTCTGGAAAATTCCCACTGCCTTCTTGTTAATTCAGGTATAATGTTCACTAATAGTTTGGTAATTCGAACAGCTCTATTACCAGTTGTTGTTTGATTTTGTAAATTTTTTCCTCAGATGTTTTATCATTATATTGTACTACGGTAAGTATTTTAAGGCAACAACTTTTTACTATAGTTATAAGAATTTTTAGTTATTAGCTTGGTAATTATTCTGACTTCACAGCCGCTAATTTATTTTCACGTAGAAAACGAATTTAAAAATGCTGAAAGTTCATTGTTTTCTGTGGACTCTCATAGTTATGGCAAAGAGTTTATTAAAAAGTTCAAGTTAGGGTAACCTAACCTAACCTAGAATAACCTAACCTACCAGTGGTCGAACTTACTGGTGAGACGGGAGAGCGACTACAAAATCCTCCATTTTAGCTGCTAGTTTTTTTTCTATCTACCATCATATATCACCTGTAGTGGATAAGGTATGAAGGATAAAGAAATTGCCAGGTAAAACAGGATGAAAAACTGATAATAAGAAAATATATATATAGTATATTTTTTATGGGATTAGCCCACCTGGGCACAGGTCACTGACCCACATCAGGGCCTGGGGGCAAAAATGTAATAATAATAATTAGGTAAATTTGCATAAGTGCACCCAACTGTTAGAAAGTTAAAAATATATTTATACTGGTTTTTAGAAAAGGCTTTTCTGATGTGTGTTGTTTTAGACCGATTATGACCTTCATTTCCGTCAGAAATTGGCCGATTTTTTTTTTGGGGGCTTTCGAAAAAAATAATGGCTAAGCAAATACAAAAACACTAGAAAAACATAAACCAAACAAAACCGACTCTCACCATATGATGGCATCACTTATTTCTTACCTTATTGGCCGTCTCTTCTTTGTCTTTGGAATAAAGACCTGTTACGTAATGCCACATATGTTGGTCGTGATATTTACATTCATTATTGCACTAAAGACACTTTACTGGTCGGAGAACACCATGAGATCGAAAAATGCTATAGTTTCTTGGTTTCCCAAAACTCATAATCAGCTCCATATAATTAGTGACACCCATCGCTTACATGGTCGGAAAGGAATTTGGATTTGGAATTAGAGACAAAATAAAAATCGAATTTGATTGGGCCAAAAATACTCTGAATTAAACCATAAATCATTTAATTGGTTGCCCCCCCCAAAAAACGCTTTTGATTGACCGCGTGGCGGTTACTGAAGAATGCATGCGCGTGATGATTTATGAAGGAGACCGCGGTGAGGTGAGCGATAATGGCGTTAGACTAATGGAAGAAAATAGATAAAATTTTGGATACGTTATCCTCGTTATTATACATTTCGCCAATAATGTAATAGAAGAATATAATCTTATAATTGATCTTATTCAAATATGATAATAGATTAGGGGTAGGAATGGGGGGTGTAAAAATGCAGTAATCCAATAATAATAAAAGAACCATAAAGAAATACAAAATGAAAAAAGATAAAAATGAGAAACAATACAGTCAACCCTCACTTCTGCGGTTAATGTAACCCACAGAGTACAGCGGAAAGTGAAAGCAACATCAAAAGTGAATAACATAACATATGGGATTAAATGAAATAGAGACCAGCTGACCCCAAACTCCACTTTTCCAACACAATACCTATGTTCTAGTAAATAACATCTTAATTTTATGATGGTACATGCACACAATTAATACTTAAGAAAATAGAAAATACAGTCGTAGTTAATGTCCATTCAAATAATGGACACGACTCCTCCTCTCTTCTTACACTACACTGCTGGCTCTTCCCTCTGAGAAATTTTGGGGAAAACCAGGTATAGTAATAAATAATACCTCAAACTAAGTTAGGATAATATAATTGACATTGCTGGATTCCTTGTAAGACCAGGAATATTTTGAATATAAATGTCATATATTTTCACAAAAGATAACATATTTACTCAGATTAAACATTTTATCTAAAATTTGTATGTCTAATGCAAAATATATGATGTTTATATTCAAAATGATCCCAAATTGTAAAATTCAGCAATGTAAATTATATTCCGCGAGTAATTTGTATGAATTTTATGAGCTAAAACAAATATCTTCAGTTAATAAAAAAAATATTCTTACGACACTATCTGTCAATCAAAGTACCCCTTGCCTCCCCTCTTCCAACAGCGTG